AATAATAATATAATATATTGCATATAAATATATGAATTTGAGTAATCAAATTTTTAAAAGCAAAAAAATAAGCCCACAAATTTATGCAAGCTTAATGGATCATTCAAAGATTTTATTGCTGTGTTATTCTTGGGTGTTTTCCTTCCTGAGTAAGAATATGTAAGAGCTGAAATTCAAACTTAGTAATAGCCAGAGGGCTTTTCCCTGCTCTTTCTTGTCAGAGCTGTTTTAAGTGACCCAGAGCAATCCACACGTGCTGATGTTTACAAGGAAACTCATGGACTTCTGGGACTTGGTGCAGCACCAATGCGTTTTAGAAAAAGAACGCTGCATGAAACAAAGTAAGTTTTCTCTAGCAGTCTTTATTTATTTAAAAAATAAATTTTCTGCTGTATTTTGTTATTATTTTGGGCTCTGTCAAGGCTACTTGCCTTTCCAGATGTTTTATTTCTGTCTTGGCTCCACCAGCTTTGTCTGAGCCCTTTTTTGTAGCTTCCTCATGCTTATAATTGCCTAGTGGGACTTTTTTATGTGGATTCTCTGTGTATAATGACTGATTCATAGAATTTATAAAACCTGGGAGAACATTCTTAAGCTTATATTGATGTTGTTCATCACAGGGTTTTGCCAGCCTTTTCTCAGTTGTTGAATGCTTGCAATCCTGTCATATCCTTTTAGAGATTCTTATCCTGAGGTGCATAATATGCATCCGTAAATGCTAATGTAGATCTTCACAATATAATCATACTTTTATTTCATGTTTTGATTTCTGCTGCAATAATTAACTATATTGGCATTTAAGTGTCATTCCTGGCCTGTGAGCATTGAAATAGTAACTCCAAGGGCTTTAAAAAACCTGAAAAAATACTGTGATCCTTAAAATTAAATGAATCTGCAGGTCTGAGTATTGTTCTGTTAATCTTTCTCAACATGCAGCCAAACATCTCTGCTTTGCCCATTTTAACATCCTACTCTAAAGTCTTTCTCAACAAATGTCACCTTTATCTTCTTAAAAAAAAAGGGCAACAAAACCAGTCTCAATCTCTTACACCCATCACATGGACAAATCCATTTTGGGAACTAGTAATATGGCCAATATAAAATATCTAGATGTGTAAAGAAGCACCAACCTGAGTATTTTGGCAAGAAAATGCATTGATTGGTGGACGTATGGTGAGTGGTAGAGCTTTAATTCTTGATATAAGTGTACATAAACAAAATATCCCATTCATATCTGTGCCTACTGTGAATGTACCATTGTATAATTACAGAACACCTTCCACATTACAACTCTGAGTTGCTTTCTAATTCAACTACAAGGGATCATCTCCTCAGCCAGTTGCCAAGGATACCGTATTTCACATTTTTTGCTGTTTTGAAACAGTTAATTTTTATGTAACATTTCTCTGTGAGCATATAGGTATCATTAACATGCTGCATTATTTTCACAGAATAAGGACCAAATCAGGATTAACTGAAAATATGCTCTCTAACAAGCTACGCTTTGATAGTAGGATTATATCGAGGTAATCACAAGTTTTTTGAAGCTTTTCAAGTCTATGAATTTATGAATGATGGTCTTTACCCTCTTGAAATAATTAACTGCACTGAACTTTTCTGCTCCCTATGTTTAGAAAAAAGTATGTGCTGTCTGGATATATATATGCATACATGTATAATCCAAATTTTGACATGGCTGATGGATAGTGGCTTTACAGTCCCATTGTACGGTGTTAAGATGCATAAGTAACATTACGTTACCATCATACCTGTAGCTCTGTGCAGGACAGTTAGCACAGGGTCTGTGTAAAATAGTGCTCTTAGCCGCTGCACCTCACCTGATTAAAAATTATTTTAGCCTTGTCTTACTATGTGGCTAAACACTGTGGATGGAAAGGATAGCTTGGTGTCTGGTTTGTAGCTCCTTATGTATTAAACATGTAGGTTTAGGGCATCTTTGAAACTGCTGTGAACTGAGTAGCAGTGACATAAACATATTCTTCATGTCTGAAAGCAGTGCTTTTCTGAAGTGGTGAGCTGTATACTTGTTAGGCATAGCTGAAGATTCAATCCCATAGCTTCATATACCGTAAAGAATGCAGTAGTCCTGGTGTATGTAAACCTTTGATTAATGAGTGAAAATTACATTGGTACACTAAAACATGAAGCTTTGAAAGGTGTTCTCAACATTATGGAGAATGCAATACTGCATAAAGGTATGTGTCCAAATCCAGAAGTTGAATTCCATGGTGGTTTAGAGAAAAAAGTCAGATACCTCTTTCAACAAAAGATTGTACAATATGCAACATTGGAAATAAAATGCATATTCCACAATAGAAATGTTATTTATGTTTGGGTTGAATTGGATTTATATAGATGCAAAAACATAAAGGTGCTTTTCAATTTTCTTTCTAGAAATGGACGCGATGCTTGTAGAGAGTTGATTGGATTTTTTTTTGCATGTGACAGATCCCTTACTGTGTACGAATTTTGCCACTTTGGAAAAAATAGGTAGGATAAATTACTTTTTAAAAAGATTTTAGAAAATCTTCTGCTGTATGTAAGAAACTTCAATACATTTAATTGTTTTAATATTAGTTTTAAATTATTTCACAGAAAAAATGCCTTGCCTTTCATTCAGAAGGGAGTTTATAAACATCAACGTGGACAAAAGAAGGGAAAAGCATACAATCTTAGTGACTTCTATATTGTAAGTATTCTTTGGTTGAATATAAATCAATTTTGTTGGTGATTTGGAAGTAATATTTAGATACATGAGTTGAAAATTATGATCTAGCTTTCAGGGAGGACCAAAGTCTTTCGCTTCAGCAATGTTTTCATATTAGAGGTTTTCAGGAGTCTGGATGATTTTGCTGTTCCACGTATTAGAGATTCAATTTTTTATTTCAGATTAAGCTGTAGTTTCTAATTTTCCCACTAGAGGGCACAAGACTGCAGACAGTGTAAGACCTGTTTGTAGGCAGAATGAACAACTCCGGAAGGAGAGCCCTGAAGATGAAGTAGACCAAAGTACTTTTTAAAAATTAATAATCTTTGCTAGGTCTGCTGGCATTTTTGACACGAAGCAATGATTGAATGTTTTTTTAAACGTGAGGAAATTGCAAGTTAATTGGTTTTAACCTAAAGTTTGAAAATGTTCACCACCACCTGTTTAGAGAGAGCTTCTGAAACAATGGTAAACTTCGCCTACCAGCTAATCTGATGAGCACCTACAAATCATGTTGCATCTCCTGTACTGCTGTACTTCTGTAGTGGGTTAAGTGTTCCTGGTTTATAAATACTTGAGCAATTTTTGAAGTACATAGTGTGTTCACTGAATTCTTCACATCCTCCTGCAAAACCAAGTTCAGAGCAAAAACCGTGTTTGAATGAAGTATTGAAAGTAGAAGAAGACAACATTAGTTTTTAGAGTGTTTTGTCTAAACACCTGCCTAATCCTAATTGTTTGCATGAGGCTATGATATGAGAGTTTCCAAGATGAAATAGATTACTTTCTTTATGATATGGACATTGAAACTACTTTTTAGAGAATTTGTTTTTATTGTCATATGTGTCTTTGCAACCTGGAGATGGAAATGTGTTCTGAATAAAGGTGTGTCTTAAAGCTGTCCAGAAAATGTACTGCTACCGAGTTCGATAGCTCTTTGGAATGATGTCGTATCTGTGAATTTGCGTATCTGCAAACTGAGTTTCTGGGCTGACATTAAGATATACAAACCTCTTGCAAAGTCTAAATGGTTGCACAATAACAGTGTCTCTGTCTCCTTCCTAATTTATGAGTTTTGGAGGCTTAATATCCACTCAGGCTTGGGTTATAACTGTTAGAGCAACTGCTTTTTTTTATTCTTCTCAGCATTCTTTGCTTTTAATTTGCTGCTTTTCTTTCTCTCTCGTTCCCTCTTCTCCCAAACCAAAAAGCATCTTTAATTTTTGAGAATATGTGAGGTGTGTCCTCTGTGTCGCCAACTTGGAGTGAAGGGAAATTTGTATTACCCAGTATAGTCTCTTCTTAGTCTCTTCTGACTATTAGAACTCTATGTTACTAATAACATGATTTTATTCACTATTTTTTAGTGAAATCTAGCAATTTTAAAGAATAACTTCATAGTTAAACATTGCAGGAATAATTTGGACTTTGGAAAGACTGCTTTTTAGTTGTTTGCTCATCTCAAGTATAATTTTAGGCTATTGAAAATAACTGTGGAGGGTTTCTTCTAGTCTGTCAGAACTCTCTCTCATGGAATCAATGCGGCATCTTCTGTGACTCTCTTCTGTGGTCCAGTGAGTTTTGGATTCCATGAGAATGGAGAAGGAAAATTGAAATGTAGAGCCTGGCTGAGGGAACAACAATCTCTAGTCTCATGTTTCTCAGCTGTAGATTAGGCAACAGTAGGCCCTCTTACTAGACAAACCTCTGTGTAGAGAATAATGTGTCATCCTGGAGCCCACAGATGTTTTTATTTAGTACTAGAAAGGCTCTGTTAAGACGGTTAACTGACCTTAGCTACACCCTTTCATCATTTCATACCAAGGCTTTTAACAGTCATACTTATTGTCTTGCAGAATGTATTTTACTTTTGCAGTAAACAACCTATTTGTAAATCATTGTATGCTTTACCAACAGGGAGCTAACCTAACTTTCCAGAGCGCTGATCATAACCTTCCAGAAAGTATTAAGCAGAACCCAGTTCTCACCCTTCGTGTGATAAGTATTGATGAAGCAGCTATGGATTTTCTGAAGTAAGTGGAGCTAACTGTTTTTCAAATTATCTTTCCTTCCTTAAGCAAAAAAGATTTTTTAATAAGAGGTTTTAACATCTTACTCCTTATACTGCTAAAAAAAAATACCTGTATTTAGGCTGTTGTTAGGAGAAATTAGTAATAGATGTTAGTGGATGTAGTGTAATTCAGTAACTTTCTAGAATGATAAAGAGTCATTTTAAAATAAGAATTAGTTAAATTATGAAACTGTCTGCATTGTTTGAAGTCAGATGTTTTTATATACAAACCATATAGTAAAACTTTTCTATGTAATGAACTAAAATACTGTATTTGATGAAAAATGCTTTTTTGGGTGATCAGCATTATCATTGTTGAACCTTTTATGAAGCGATGTTAAAGCTTGTATCAGTCATGATAACACAAGTGTTTGAACATGGCAGGGGAAGGATTGGAGGTTTCTCTCTCTGCTTTTTCGTTTCCATTTTCTTTTTCCTTCCTCTTCCTATCCCTTCATTCTTCATTCTTCCAGATATTGACACATGTTGAAGATTTCAGGCACTGGAGCAGGATTTCTGCACTTACTCTTTCAAAATAGGTTTTAGTAAATTATGTTGTTCCATAGTTTGAAAGATGGGAATTTCTTAGAACTTTTTCAAATGGTAAGGTGAGTGGTTAATCTTTGAATATGTGTTATTTTTGAAGATAATAGTCTCATCTCAGTGTCTATACAGAAGTAAACTGTCTAGGGAATGAAGCATCTTTCTCTGGGGTTTCTGACTTTTATTGTGAGTATACTGGTTCTTAGCACAAATAAAATCTTGGTATAAAATTTATTGCACTGCTGTGTTGCTTGAACATGGAAGTTACTTACCAGTATTGGAAATTTAGTCAGAGTGTGATTACTCAAGTTTTGGTGAGGAGTGTTAGCTGACAGCAGATGTTACAAGGTAGAAATTTTCATAAAATAGTGGAGTCATAGAAAGGAACCTCAAGAGGGTCTCTAGTCCAACCTCCCTGCTCAGAGCAGGCTTTACTACAGCAGGTTGCTGAGGGCTGCATCCAGTTGGGTTTTTTAATATCTCCAAGGATGGAGACTCTGCAACCTCTGCGGCCAACCTATTCCAGTGTTCGATCACCCTCACAGTACAAAAGTGTTTCCTGAGGTTCAGGGAAACCTCCTGTGTTTCAGTTTGTGCCCACGGCCTCTTGTCGTGTCACTGGGCTCCACTGAGCGGACCATGTCTCAGTCTTCTTTACTCCCTTCTGCTGCGTATTTATACACACTGGTAAGATCCCTCCAGCCTTCTCCAGGCTAAACAGTTCCAGAAATCCTGGCCTCTCCTCATGTATCAGATGCTTCAATCCCTTCTTGACTTGGAACAGCAGTAAGAGAATCTCAATTAAATATACTCATGATCTAAAGACTACTTTTGTTAGCACAACTTAACTGACTATTATTTTTATTTTTGCAAGTGTTTAGACACATGAAGGTTGTTCTCAGTTACAGTAATATTCACATTAAAGTCCCTTTACACTGAAAGCTTTGCAAAGGAACTATAGTGAGCTAACTACATAAAACAGTAAATTCAAATGTAACTCATTATAGAAATATACAGTTGTGTGATGCTTAGTGCTAATTGTTCCCTCTCTGCAAGGTTTCCATGAAATAAAACACATAGTTTAATTTCAGATAGTTTATGTAAGACATTTTACATCTCAGAAACCTATCATTCTGGTAAACAGCTTTCTCTCTCATTTGTTGCTAATGTTATACCTGTGAAATTTGGAGTTGATCCAATGTTATCTCTGAAGGCTCCAGAAAGACCTGCTCACTGAGTTATAATTTTGGATTTTCTGCTACCTGTGGTGGAACAGATAATTTCTTTTTTATACTCTCTGTTTTCTTTCCGTAAGTGACTAAATTTCAGACTGTGAAGTCTGTCTTTTTCTTCTGAATGGGGGTGTTATTGAGCTCGGTATTCTCTGGTGCAAAACTCTTGAACTGAGTCCTTTTGCCTCCATTACTGTACTCGGAGAATCCTGCTCACATACAGTCCAAAAACTCTATTGCAGGTTTTCAGGAGCAGCTATGCTGTGCTGTCACAAGCCATAAATCTTTTGTTTTACATGTGTTTTAGAGAGAGTAGGTGGAGGTGGTTGTTGACTTTCCAGTTTAGGTGGTTTGATATAGAAAAGCTTTTAGGGACTTCATAATGGGAGATGCCCGAAGGGGAGTTGAGAAGTCTTTGGCCTCAGAAGGCAGAAGGAGGAGTACTCCATGGCAAAGCAACTCAAAGTTGTCAATAGTGCTTTTGCATTTGCCTTCCTATTCTGATTAAAAGAATTATTGGATGACTTTTTTTTTCTTTTTTTTTTTTTTTCTTCCTTCCAGTAGGTTCTTCCATAGTCCTTTTTATCAACCTCAGTAATAATTTCTGATGGGGGTTTCTGGGCAGCCTTTCTCAGAAGGGAATCACTTACCAGAAAAAACAGAAAATTTAACCATAATTCCTAGATCATACATAAGATATGCTGATGCAGATTTTTGGTCTACAGCCTTGCTATTTCTCTTCTAAAGAGAGATTTGTAGCTTCTTCATGTTATTTTCCTATTGGTAACTGAATGTAGTTGCTTTAACAAACTCTTCCAGTGGCCTGATCTAAAGGTTAGGACTGTCTTGAAATAAATTTATGCACAGGAGGAATTATCTGTGATTAATGCACTAGTAGAGTAAGTGCTAATGGAATATTGTCAGAAAGGAATTTCTGTGTATCTGCAGCTGTTCAGCAAAGGTTGTTGTACATGCCATCTCAAACTCAAGCAGTTGGATACTATGCCTATAAGGGTAGTATAAGAATTGAATATGAAGTTCAATTTTTTTTACTGCTGCTGTTTTAAATTTAGTAATAGTACATGTAATTTCACCAATCAAGATTAATTTTTATTATTTTAGAGCTTCTTCTATGGAATTCAAGCAAGAGTGTTCCAAACAAGTGGTTGATGACAGCAAAGTTTTCAAGAAGATTCAAGGTTAGTGTGTACCAGAACCCATTTAATTTTAATTTTTGTATCTACCTTTACAGCTCAATGCAAAGAACAATGGTAACATTATAAATGAAATTAAACAAAAGCTAGATATTTTTCAGAATATTCTTAGAATTTGATGCCACCATAAATCAATCATAAGAATACTTTCTTTCTTTAAATAAACAGGCTGGCTAAAGATCGTGGAGACAGTACAGAGTAATAGTGAATGCAATCAATGACCTTTAAAGGTCCCCTCCAACCCAAGCCATTGTATGAATCTGTGAATAATATGTTAATCTCTGTGTCGACATAATCTCTGAAAAAATGCTGAAGCATAATGCTGATCCTATGTTAAACTGGCATTAAATTAAAAAAGTTACTAGAAAAACATACAAACACAATCTCACTTCTTCAGTTAATCTTGTGCTAGATAGTTGTTTTGACCATTATTTCTATACATTGATAAGTTGTTTTTTGATAGTCTTTAATATTATGCTTATTAAAATACATGAGTACAATTGAGTAGTATATTCTGGAATATGTAATTAAATTTTACCATGTTCCTACCTACAGTCTTTAGGACACAGGCATAGCTTTGTGTTTAAAATTATGGAAAGATGTTTATGCAGTGCTGTGTGTTATCTTTGTAACCTGTGGTCAATGAAAACCATTGAACTGAACAGCTTCCAGGTCATAGAATCTCTATTACTTACTGCCATTAGCTGAACCTGTTTTAAATAGGCATTCTTTGGTCACTAAAATCTGCTTGGATGTTTACTTTTAGAAAAATTGTTTGAATAATAAATTAGGGATATTTTAGAATTTTCTAGTTATTCCATGTTTTCCTTCGCATAATAGACACACTGATTTTTCAATTATCTGACTACATTTAAGGTTTTCTGGTGTGTCTTGGAAGAAGGTTATGTGTATATACTTCAAAACATCTTTTAACATACATATGAATTTGAACTTTACTGGAAAAAGCTTCCTTCTTTTACTGTCCCCCCTGTTTTGCTTTATAATTGTAAATACAAGTAATCTGAAGATACAGTATGATAATAGCAGATGACTTCTGTTAACAGAGAGTGCTGACAAACTCAGACATCCCTAAAGTAAACCTGCTACCTAGAGATTTTGATAGGGTGTGGTGGTTTGACTGGCTGGATGCCCACCAAAGCTTCTGTATCACTCCCCGCCTCAGCTGGGCAGGGGAGAGAAAATATAACGAAAGGCTCGTGGGTCGAGATAAGGACAGGGAGAGATCACTCAGCAAGTACCATCACAGGCAAAACAGACTTGACTTGGGGAAATTAATTTAATTTATTGTGAAGCAAATCAGGGTTGGATAATGAGAAATAAAACCAAAAGCCACTCATTCCTCCTCATGGGGAGGACTCCTCACACTCTGCCCCTGCTCCAGCATGGGGTCCCTCCTACTGGAGACAGTCCTTCATGAACTTCTCCCATGTGAGTCCTTTCCACAGGCTGCAGTTCTTCATGAACTGCTCCAGCCTGGGTCTGCTCCATGGGGTGCCGACCTTCAGGAACAGACCGCTCCAGCGTGTGTCCCCCACAGGGTCACAAGTCCAGCCAGCAAACCTGCTCCAGCCTGGGCTTCTCTCTGCATGAGTCCACAGGTCCTGCCAGGAGCCTGCTCCAGTGTGGGCTTCCCAC